TTTAAAATGATTCCATATAGTTGAAATCTCTTTCTCTCAGTGTTTTTTTCTGTCTCTGTTTCCTTTTCGATATTGTTACGAGATGGAATTTATTCAAGACATAAAAAGCAGATGAAAATGAAAGTAAGAGCTGAGCACATCGCGACGTCTTAGTTAGTTGACTCCAAATGAACCGTGTCAATTTCGATTACCTGTGAAATGATCCGTTATGAGTAGGTAATATTTGTTGTCATATACCTATAGCGGTCGGTTTATCTGTTCGTCCATTTTCAAACTACTGAATGGCTAAAAAGATTGATCCTAATCTGAGGGTATATTTATGATAAGACATGATATCTGTCTCATCATCTCTCATTTAAATGATGATAGATGTGATGGTTATTGTTACGGTTGATTAACAATTAATTACGGTTGATTAGCATCAATGGTTTTTCATTAGGCGGCAAATAGATATAATCTGAATTGGCATTTTAATCTAATCGGTAAGGGAAGTATTCTGTTCAAAAATAAATAGCCATTATCTTCAAAGTAATACTGACACTTAGCATTAAGTGATTTACAATATAGGGAGACATCAATAGTAAAGCTTATATTTTGGACCTAAATGTAATTACATGAAAGATTAGCTTCAGTATTATAACTTGGCTTTTTAATGTAAAGAATTATTTTTCCTGGACAGAATCATTCCTAGGCAGGTATTCCTACTTACATCAGAGCAAATTAGTCTAGAAAATAACTTGGGTGCTACCAAGTGTCTTTGAAAATTGAACTGTTACATAAATTATTATTTCATTTATTAGATTGCAATCGTCAGAATAGTTCCTGGTTTGATTCGAACTAAAAACCCTTCAAGTTTGAATTGAAACTTAATTATTATTTAATGTTTTTGAAATAATGCTGCGAAAAATTAGATTTTAAAACTTAATTCTAAACAAGTGATGACATGAAACATATAAATGATGAATCGTGAAATTGGTGGCGATATTGTTACTGGAGATATTGGTATGATTAAGTAGGTGCCCATCATTTAGAAACTTCTAAATACGGGTAGATAAATCATCTCACGACTGAATTATTGCCATAACTATAAAAGAAAAGATGAAATTTTCAGGATCCTTTCGAAATATCCGTCCTTGTTACTATAAAATTGAATGGCTGCGCAGTAATCATAATCTCAGCAAATTAACTACCGTCAAAAATTCCTCTTATTTTAACCTTACTATTTTCAAAAGTTTCCTTTACTTTTTTTGTTTTAAATTCATCGTAATTGAAACAACACACGGTTGAATTTGAATAAAATATTTCAATGTGACAAGCATTGTTTCAGATATCACTATTATATTATTATACATTCTGCATGAATTCTTCAAACACTATTACTCCTTTTTCCTGATCATCGTTTACATTGTACAATTATCTTTGTCTACCTTTCTCTCTCTTATTTGTCTCTTCTTTTCTTTCATTGCCAAAGATGAAATCTTGTTGTGATATTAAGAAAAGATTAATAGGTACCTGTCAATCTATCACTATATGATATTTAAACCAATAACTCAACAATTTCCTATCTTTTTCTCTTCCAATTTATTCACTTCTTCCACTTCTCTTTGTCCTTCCAATGTAGTCTGCTGACTTACTTACTTACTGATATGCATGTATCAGTTGAAATGCATGCTAATCAGATGATAACGTTTCTATCCTTTCGCTGCTCGCTCCTACATACTTCACACTTCCCACCTGTGCTGCTTACCCATGTATCTGTGTCACTGATCCAATAAATGCTGGATTTGAACTTTCTTCCATCAATTTTCCATACCATTCAATCTTAATATGTATATGTGTATGAGTGTATGCATGCATGTTGAGTGTATGTATCTATGTACATGTGTATGTATGTGTATGTGTGTGTATGTATGTGATGTGATAACACCTATGTATGTATAAATGACATAGCAGCGTACGACACTTTTAATACAAAAAATAAACATACTGAATTAGCGATCCGTTTCAATCAAATTGGGCACATTATTAGTAATCGACTAAAAATAGTTTATTTCCTTGTTCTCTTTACATTCCAAATGTTTTCAATGCTTTATGATCAAATGCACTACTGCATGTAGCATTGCAATGTTTGCTTGCAGACGTGCTGCTTCATGGTGAAAGTCTTCCAGCACTTGCTAGCAAATGATAATTCTTCTCTCACTATTCCTAATTTGTGATACATTTTCCTCAATTATAATCTCTGTGCTCTATTAGATTTAAACAAAAGACTGCCTTATTGCATACGAATTTTATAACTGTTTACTCTTATCAGTATGTTCTACAAATGCTCAACTTCATTAGCAGCATATCGACCATAAGTAACACTGACGTAACTTTTATTGATTTCCGTTCCTTGACTGATTCAAATTGAAATTAATATTTCATAAAATAGTTATCGCTTGTAAGCTAGCACTGTTAAAGTTTTGCACTTTTTTTTTTGATCGATTTGCAGTTTCACAGATTGTATGTTATCGTTTCATCTTGAATTGAAACAAGTTTGCTTTAAAATCAAAGTCCCTAATCAATCAGAAATTGAAGTAGTGAATTGTGATGTCCTGATTGTGTCCTTCCCTAGCCATCGAGGCTGAAATATTCATTTCGAGCAGTAGTGGTGACGTAGCTATGGTAGCGTGGTAAGCTCCGGTAGCTATGGTGGCATGGTAGCCATCTGAGGTGATGGCTGCTTCTGTTTCATCCATCCATCCACCATCGTTTCCCCTTGTATTTTACAGTATTCCAGTAGCGAAGTTGGGGTAAATATTACGTGGCGTACGAGAGATACGTGCTGTACGAGAGATACGAGATGAGAAGACCAATAGGGCAGGGTGCATGGCACTGTTCCGATTATCGCTGCAGGTGAACAAGCACTTTTCATAATTATTTTTTGCCAATCTGTGCTAACACAAGCTCTCTCAGTGATGAAATCTTTTCTTTTTTTCTCCCCTCTTACTCTTCTCTCCTTTTCTTCTTCTCTCTCTCTCTGTCTTCACAAAGGATAAAATGAGAAGGGTAGACAATTCGGCGCTTTGATAGCAAATTTTTTTTCTTTTCCAGAAATTTTTTTGAAAAATATCTTTCCTAAAAATTTCTTTTTTTTTCGGAATTGTTGAAACAACTGCCATCGTACGATTAAAAGTAACAATGCCAAAGCACTACTTTTCATCATTTCTCTAGCTATTCCTTGAAATTTTTATACAAAATGAAAAATTAAATACAATATATTCGATGATAGTTTTCACATATTTACCCATTAATTTTATCCGATACTATTTAACTATTTAGTTTATTAATTATTATCGGATATTATTTGATTAGATTTGAAGAGAAAGAAAATTATTAATGAATTACACAAATAAATTGATTGTTTTGACAAGTTGCACTTTTATTGCAAAGAGGCTGCTTTGCTGAATGTCTTATGGATATTGATATATCTTATATCTAATAATATACAAAATGTTGAAATGAAGCTCAGCGTTCATTCATCATCAGACGATGACGTTTTTCCGGCTTAATAATTTATCATTACCTGAAATACCTGCTTTTTTAGTCGAAACTAAAGTTTTCTGAATTAATATTAATCTGAATGAACCAGTCAGCACACCGTTATTATTAATCTTACTTTGACCTTTGCTCACTTATCCTTAAGTCATTTATTGATCAAAGAGGAAGATGGATTGCGAATTTCTTATTTAAAAATGTCTTTTTCAGTTTTGTTTAATTGACACTCACTAATTAATGTTATTTGGTGACAAGTAGTCTAACAAGAGGAAAAATAAAATGATGAGAGCTCTGAAAATGCTGCCACAAAGGTTAGAGAAAAAAGACTGAAAATGTTGTTCTTAAATGAATACTTCCGGAAGATGGCGGTAAAGGTAAGAAGAATGGGAAAGGAATGCAATAAACGAATATAATAATTGTAAAGTTTAGTTTTTTGCAAAGAAAGAAAACTCATCTCTCTGCTTTCAATAATATCGAAATTTTCATCATTTGAAACTCAGAGATATTTCTGCTATTGACTTTCAAATTACTACTACTACTACTACTACAGGTTATGAAATCAATAAATTTTGGCTATTCATAAAAAAACATAACTCCCTAATGGGACTGTTTTAAAAAAAAATTTACAAAATTGTCGGGAGATTTTATAAATTTCGTAAGTTCTCTATATACTAAATAAAGCAGTTTGTATGCAGCAGCTGTAACTTAGAAATTTATAAAATGATGGAATGTTCCAAGGATATGCTAAATTTGTTGATGATTTTAATAGGTAAGTTTACTTAATTACTTGATCTTTAAGACTATTACATCATTAATAAGATTATAAGTTATAAGTTGAAATGTTCAATTTATAAATTTCTTCAATTTATCATCAATTAATTTATCTTTTGTCAGGAATGTCATAACATCTCGATCTCGTACGTCATAAACGTCTTATGATAGCATTGTTAAATGATCTTTAATGATAAAATTCTTTGCTGAATGGACGATTTAAAACTTAAAATATCATTTCCTCATAAATTAAACATTTGTCCATTTTTCATTTTTGTAATTTCAACGGCAAATCTTGGGGGATTTCTAAAAAGTTCTTCATCCTTCATCCATATCCTTCACCTATGCAAATGGAAATTAGCGGTTACGGTACGAAGAAAAAAAAAATGATTGAATTCATTCACAAATTATTCTATCATTCATTCATCCGTGTCATCCGTTCATATCATTTTTTTGTTGCTTACGTTTTTACTCGGATTGATACGGAAGTAAAGTTTCATTTATGACAAAGTATCGGTTTTGGTCGCACGCTATTTTATGAATTCTTTTTCAGATGCTAATATAAATCATTTTTCTATAACCGGATCCAGAAATCACTGACTGAATTACCAATATTGAAAACTACTAATGTGTAACACTAATTATAACCAATAATTAATCGATTATTACAAATGATGATAATGATGATGACGATGACGATGGAAGCTACCCGTTGGCTGGGTACTGTCAATTCCACAATTCCTCTGTTTCCTCTCCTCCCAAACCTCACAACTGTTGTCCTTACTAATTTGACAAGCGGAACCAGTTTTTGTATTCCCCAGTGGAGTACCAATTAAATTCACTCTGAAAAACCATCGAAAAGATCAGGTCTTCCATTTTCATCTCATTAACAAATCATTTGTATTCATTTCTGCAACAAATGTTTGCATGTTAGTTCAACCTATGGTATCAACTTTCGTACTTTTTGTTTGGATTACGGTACTCTCTTTTGCTTAATTTAAAATAACACTTAGTTCTGAAGTAGAAATGATGGTTCTTTGATGATGGCAACAGGATGTATAGCCGCTGATAGACAGAAGTATTATCATTTGATAACAAAATCACCGTTGAACAATTTTGTTTTTGTTGTGAAGAATTAAAAATGGCTTTGAATTAAATTTGGAAAAAATGTGGAACTCAAATTCAATATTTGGACGAATAGGACGATGTCATGTTTTTGATTTGCAGTTTTATTTGCACTTGTGGTACAGACTAGTCTGCTGGATGTTGATCAAGCATTTGTCCAGAATGAAGAATTAGACATAAGTGAACGGATCAGGTATCGTCATTTCATCCTCTTTTAAAATGTAGATATGCACTTCAGTAAGCTTATAATCCATAACATAACTCTATGAAATACCGGGAGCACAAGAATGTCAACTTAGAATTGTGTTTATTTCAGGAGTAACGAAGTAAAATATTGAAATTTCAGAATATTAATCTTCGGACGAAATAATTTAATATAATCGTGTGAACCTGTAATTGCATCTGTCTCATAGACATGCTGTGCTTTTATGCTCGCATTTATGTTGGTAGATTCTGGTAACATTCAGTTTTTAACTTTTGTTTTTACGATAGTTTGTCTTGAGCTGTAACAGAACAATTTGTTAAATTAGACAGGAAGCATCCAATCACTGCAGTGAATTAAAACAGTCGCCCAGGGGCAGTGGTAAAGTAAACTTCTTGTAAGATTAATTGATTGGTCAAGTTTGATATATAATATGATAGCAAAGTTGACCTCCACATAAATTTAATCGTCTTTATCTTTATTCAAACAAATTTTTCATATTTTATTCGTTTCGAAATTTTATAAATCATAAAATTGAGGGTTAATGTTAAGGAAACAGGTTCATCTCTCGAAAATGCATTTCCCTGCTGAATTCCTCTCCCATTTACAGTTTTCAGGGTAATTAAATGAAAAGAGAGAGCATAAGAGGAGTTGGAAGAGGACAGAGAATGATATATGTCAGGGTATGATAAAATTGAAGATATCAAAATGAAAATCTGATTTAGACTCCTTTATATTTAAGCCAACATTATTAAACGATTTTGAAAATTTTTCGAGCATGTAGAAAATTTTCGACTATAAAGTTGAATATTTGTTGAGAATTGGGTGCTTTTGTGATGTAAGCCATTGTCATTTTTATCTCGTCAAATTCACTTTCCTCTTTCAGTCATCTTCTGTTTTCCTTTTTTATTTTGTCCCTTATATGCTTCTTTTTATGTTCCTCTGCTTCCTTCATGCATCAAGGCAAGATGATTATTATATTTTGCTGACTCATTTACCATGATATCTTTGTTTACCTTCTTATCATCGTTTTGTCCCATTTGATTCCATCTCTCTTCACCAATGTTCTATAGCGGATCTTTTTCCGTACGTCATTCTCCGCATTAAAATCCACAAAACTTCTTCATCTTGTTTGTTGTCCGTCAAAATAAACGTGAGCAACTCTAAATTTACTCACTTGTCACTACGTAATGCTCGGATCTTATGTTCGCTTATCATTTGAATCGTTTTTATGATTTCGGAAGCACATTAAACTGTGACAAGGAGTCATCGAGCAGCTGCTGAACTTTAAGATGGAAGTCTCATGGTTGACAAACAAGCAGATCAGAATGTGATACAATAAAGAAGAAAGAAATAGGTAGGTTTACTTCAATCGTATTAGCTTGTTAAACAAAAGAAGCAAAAACATATCCATTTTAAATTAAATCTATGAAATGATGAAGAGGAAAAATTAAAAATTTCCCACACTGATAAACTATCTCTTATTTCAATTAGGTAAACGCGAAGTGTTAATATTGTATGAACTCTTTACATATTTAAAATATTTTTCCACATCAGTTTTGAGGTATAGATGTTTACGTCAAATATCACGCTGGTAACGTCAGTGCGAGTCTTGTGGAATAACTTGAATCATCTCTTTTATAATTTAGCCAGAAAAACAAAACTCTTGGTCACTTAACAATTTTCTGACGCGAAAAGTTACTCTTTCTCAGATAGAATATTTGGTCCCAAGAATAGCAATTAAGAAAAGCAATATACTTTTCTTAATTGTTGATGGTGACAATATGGCGTTGGAAATGGTATATTCCTAATAAAATATTTATAATGAATGTCCTCCATAGCGCCTATACCATCGATCGTCACGATCTGTTCAATTGTATTCATTATTTGCACATACAATGAGACAATTGATGATACTACTACCTAACTACAATAGATATACCTCAAACAGGTGCCAATATCTGTGTCATACAACTTTTATTGTTAACTCTTCACATCGTTCTACCTGGGAATCATTACTGGTAACTTTCTTCGGTAGAAAAACATATTACTACTATATTTAGATTGCATTCTTTCATCTTGTTTTGGATTTTATTAGAATAATTTCAGATGCTCTTCTCCCCACCCTAATTGAAGTATTGGTTTAATAATATGAATGGATTTAATAAGGTTAGTGAAAAATAAAATAGAAACTCGATCTCTTTTTATTAATTGGGAGATAAGTATGTGAATACTAATATGAGAGAAAGTAATTAGTTCTGATAATTAATTAAATGTTTTTTGTATTAACACATAATGCAAATATTAAATTTAATTACTCCGATATTTAGGTTTTCCAAATATTTGAAACATCTCTGCTAAACTGTTCATAATGAAAAAAACTTTCCTTTTTTCATTATATGACCTTAACAGAATGCGGGGAAATGATGAAGTGTAGATGAGGAATGTGCTCCTAAAAAAAAGAAACTTTTACAGAATAATGTTTCGTTAAGTTACACTTCAAGTTCAAAAAGAATCTGAATTTTTTAAAAGCTCAAATTTTAAGGTATCTTTCGTTGGTTTTTCATATTGAAAAGTGAATGAGAGAATACTGTATATAAGGGGTGTATTTATTTATTGTACACATGTGTGTCTTTGATGAATGGGAGGGGAGGGGACGTGTCAACAGACGAGCTGACTGCTTCGATAGTTTGGTTCGCTCATTCGTTTAACGACATTGATGTCGATGATAACGATGTCGCGGAGTATATGATAACTGTTCGACTTTTTGATGGCGGTGATCACCGTAGGAAAATTGCAACCTTCAGAATGAAGAGAGCAAACTGGGAAAGGACAAAACTTTCGGCAGGTAATTATTTAATTTCCAATAAACTGAGTCTTTTATTGTTAAAGTAGTAAATTAGATTAAAAGCAATTGAAGAAGTTCCTTTTAATATGAAATAGAAAGCATCAATGCTATGCTCTTCATAGTTAGTCTAAGTTTCATTAAAATCGTTTTCAAATAATTCAATTTTAGTGTTTTAAATGAAAAAGCGATGGGTGTGTAAAAGCAATTTGTCAATTTTTCGGATAGTTTTGTTGGAACAGCTAAAGTATCTAGTTGTTTTCCAATTTATACTTATCTTTTTGCTTTACGTCACTAACTCATGTGATCAAAATATTTAGCCCTTTCTGAAGTTTAATGAACTGAAACATTTTGCTGAATTACAAATAATTTAATTATGTTTTATTAATAATTCCTTATTAAGGTAATAATGAGCTAAACAGAATTTAGGTTTTTGATTTCACAATTCATTTATTACAAGATTTTTGAGCAGTTTTAGATGATATATAAAGGATGCGATAAAGTTATAATATTTTCTTGAAAGTTGTTTAGGCGCTTTCTGCCAATCTTCACTGCCTTAATATTCTAAGCATTTCGTTTGATAATGGAAGAAATACTTCACATGAAGAAAAAATCTTCTTTTTCCTTAAAAAAATCTAAAAAAAGCTCACTGAATTAGTGTGGTGAAGTGAAATATTTTAATGCTATAGGGAATGAATAAAATTGGTAACAATAATAATATAATGAACCCATCATTAACATGCATTTCTCATTGCAATTTATTGCATGCATATGTATGTTATGTGTTTTGTGCATTAAGTTGTCAATGAATTCATATTAATTTTAGAGATATTTTGTAGTCAAACATTACAGAACTAATTATGGAGTAGAATGTAGACAGATAACCAATACGTAATGGTACACAGATCTGGAGTGTGTTCAATATTCACATGGATAAACTAATTATAGTTCACGTATGATACTGTCCGATAAGGTTAATGTGACAGCAGCAGCGATGACAGGAATACATATATGCGCAACTTGCTTTACAAAGCATTGTCAATTTGCAATTTTAATAACAGTAATTGAGAGCAGATTGCAAATTACACTTGGTTTTACTTCACTAAAAATATTACGGATATCTACGGATGAAAAGAGAGGTGAGGTGCACACCTAGACAGGTGCACACGACATAAATCACACACAAAGACATACACATGCACATACAGACACACATACACACACTTTGCTAGTTCATCTATATTAGAAATGGTTGATTTGATTTGCAAGAACTGTAGTCCATTTGCTCTAGTATGGAGAAAAAAGGGTAGGATGATGAGCTAATGTCATCGACACCTGTGTAACCTGCTCTGGTCCCTCCTTCTGTCAACTGCAATTACCGTCTCCTCATTTGTTCTCAATGCAGCAGAACTGATTGTAATTTTATTTAAGAATTTTGAGGAATCTAATGCCATCCTATTTATTACGTCCTAATGTCATTTTTGGCATGGCTTAAAATAAGTAAAAAAATATAAGTAAAAGTTTAAGATCAGACACAAATTGAATCAATTGATTTTCATGATATTACGAAAATGAAGATTAAACTGAAATAAAAGATATGAAAATAATTTGAAGTAAAAAGTTAGGAAAAATATTTTAAACAAATGAATCTTTTGTTTATTAGAAGATAGTCGCTAACTAGAAATTTCAATAAGCTGTCTTTTGTTTATCTGTGACATTTTACAGTTTAACATTAGCTCCAATTGCGGCCTATACTAATCCATCACTGCTTTCTTTAACTTAACGTGACACTCTTGATTTTCCTTCGACATTAAAAATAAGCTTCTTATATCAGACGACGAAATGATCCAACGACTTATTCACTGCCATCTTCTTTCACGTCGAATTATTTTGTCAGTTCAACGTTTTCAGACGCACGCTGCTTTGACACTATCTTAAATAGTGCAAATATGCTTTTTCTATTCATTATTGCGACTTTTCATCGCGTTATTAATTAAAAGTACGATCTAACTCATTGATAAATTAGGGATAAGCGTGAAGAAAAAATATTATTTTGATGAGTTTTTAAACAAGAACTCATAATGGCCGCTATCATTTTATCAACTGACATGCAAGACTGTAAGAAACAAAATTATGCAAAAATCATTTTGTTTTTCTTCTCCTTTTGTTTGTAAAAATTCACTAAATTAAAAATATTAATTATAGGGCATACCATATTAACTGAACCAAAAGCCATCTAACGCACATCACTGATAAGTATATATGTATTTTGAATTGAATTTTGTTTGCCTTAAAAAGACACAAAAGACTTCAAAAAAAAATTTTTTTTCAAC